ATGCCTTTCTTGCTTCAGGCGTTAACATTTGGGGTGAATTTGGATCTGATGGACCTTTTAGGATATCAAATAAAGGTCCCAACTCTCCTGTTGGTATACCTAAATAAGGCCTTATCCAATTTATGTCTCCTAATAACTTTTGAAAGTCATTAAGTGATTTGAGTTGATCTACTCGTATTTGAATTTTTGGTGGACGGACCATGGTTGAGGATAATAGAACTCCTAAATAATTAATTGGAAAATTTAATTGTACTTTATCTATTGCTATCTCTAGATTATAATTTTTTAATAAGTTTGTAAGTGTGGCATAACATTCTAGCAATGTGTTTTTATCTTTGTGTGCTAATAATACATCATCCATATAGTGAAATATTTGTAGTTCAGGATTTTGATTTCTAAGTGGCTGGATTACTTTGTTAACATAAATTTGACACATAGTTGGGCTGTTAGCCATCCCTTGAGGGAGTACTTTCCATTCATATCTCTGATCAGGACCTTCATGATTCAGTGCAGGGATAGTAAATGCAAAACGTGGACTATCCTCAGGATGAATTGGAATTGAAAAAAAACAATCTTTAATATCTATAACTAAAACATACCAGGTTTTTGGCAAAGCAGACAACTGAGGAATCCCTGATTGAGCAGGTCCCATAATAACCATCTCATTATTAATGGCTCTTAAATCTTGCAATAATCTCCATTTACCAGATTTCTTTTTGATGACAAAAATGGGAGCATTATGGGGAGATACAGAAGGTTGTATATGTCCTTCTGCTAATTGTTGTTTGACCAGGTCATGGGCTGCTTGTATCTTTTCTTTAGTCAGGGGCCACTGAGGAACCCATACTGGTCTTTCTGATTTCCAAGTAATTTTTATTGTCTCAGTGGCCCTTTCTGAAAATCCAACCCATGTCTGTCTGTTCCTTGATCTATTTGTATTGGTGCTGCTATACCTTGTTCTTGTTTTTCTAATCTTTTTCCTTTCCTAAAACCTTGTCTAGTCATAATAGTGGGTGCATTTTGGTTGATGTTATTTGTTAATGTCAAACCTAATTGATCTAGGACATCTCGTCCCCATAAATTTATAGGAAGATGATCCAATACATATGGCTGTATAGTTCCTTCACATCCTTCAGGATCCTTCCAATCTAATACCATTGCACTTCTATGGGGATTAGTTGCCACTCCTAGGCCTCGAAGCGTTTGAGTGGCTTGTTGTAATGGCCAATGTTTTGGCCATTCTTGACGAGAGATGATGCTAAGGTCTGCACCTGTATCCAGTAGCCCATTAAATTCATGTCCTTGAATATTTAGTTTTAGCATGGGGCGAGAATCTAAATTTAAAGAAAGCATAGCCCAATCTACACCTGTGGAGCCTAATCCCTTGGAACCTCTTTCTACAGTACTACTGGAAAATTTATCATGTAGGCTGGGTATTATTAGTAACTGTGCTATTCTATCTCCTGGTGAAATTACTGATATACCCTTTGGAGAACTGGCTATAATTTTTATTTCACCTTCATAATCGGGATCAATTACCCCAGGACTTATCATAAGTCCTTTTAGAGTAGAAGAGCTGCGTCTCAATAATAAGCCTACTGTTCCTTTGGGAAGAGGTCCTTTCACCCCTGTGGGAATGATTTGAACTCCCATCTCTGGAGTTAGTACTGCTCTGGCGGAGGCGCAAATGTCCAACCCTGCGCTCCCTCTGGTTTGTCTGATGAGGGATCTGATGGACAATGTGTCCTGGGCACTACCCTGATGGGGTTGCTGGGTTCCTCCAGTGCTCCGTATATTTGTGGTTTTGGGCCCCGGAGCATTGGGCCCCCCTGTCCATTTTTTGGCAATGGAGCCCGATGCCTTTCTCCACGATATCGTGGATAAACACCTGGTCCTTGTTCGTTTTTTGATAATGGAGTACCCTCTATGGTGGTTTGAGAATGGCATTCATTAGCCCAATGTCTCCCTCTACGGCATCGTGGGCAAATACCTGGTATTCTACTCCTTTGATACCTAGTTTTGTTAAACCCTCCTCCAATGGGGCAATTCCTTTTAAAATGTCCTGTTTGTTCACAATTGTAGCATGTTCTTGGCCTGGCATCTAAAGCCTGTTTTACTGCAGCTGCCACAATTTGCCCTTGTTCATTAATGTCTCTGGCATCTAAAGCCTGTTTTACTGCAGCTGCCACGACTTGCTCTTGTTCATTAATGTCTCTACATAATTTAATATATGTGTTTAAATCTTCATGTTTCCATGGTCTAATATCTCTGCACCAACGATTCGCTTGCTCATAAGCCAGGTGTTAGTAATGGCATTGCTTGTTCTGTATTCCCAAAAACTCTGGTAGCTCTTTGAATAAGCCTATCTACAAATTCAGCATAAGGTTCATTAGCTCCTTGTATTACCTTAGATAATTGACCTTGTAAACCTCCATGTCCTTGTAAAGTCTTCCATGCCTTAATTGCATCTGCAGCAATTTGTGTGTATACGCCAGGATCATATGCAATTTGTTGCTGCTGATCCTCATAAGGTCCCTTTCCTAACAACATATCTAGATTTCTCTGAGGATAACCAGCTGCTGCATTTCGCCTAGCCGTCTCCTTGCAAAATTCCTCATTGGCAACCTTCCATAACAGGTATTGTCCTCCATTTAGCACAGCTTTACACATATTAGCCCAATCTGCTGGCGTCATGTTCAAGTTGTTAATGGATTCGACCATGCTTACAGTGAAGGGTGCTTGAGGACCATAGGTTGTTACAGCCTCTTTTAGCTGCTTCACTGTTTTGAAATTTAAAACTTGGTAAAATCGCTGCCCTCCTGCCTCAAATACAGGGCATGTTAATATTTGAGATCTTGTCTCAGGATCCCAACTATCAACTGCGGGGGTTGGGGGCCTCCCAGCATATGGAGGTGGCGCTGTTGGTTGGACACTTACGCCCTCTGGTGATAGAAAGGTGTTAGTAGCAGTCTCCTGTAGAGGTGGTGCTGTTGGTTGGACACTTACACCCTCTGGTGATAGAAAGGTGTTAGTAGCAGTCTCCTGTTGTAACTTTCCCCCTGATGGCTTTTTCTGTTTTACACTTTCTTTCTCTGTCTGACTAGCTTGAGAGGCCTTCTCTTTTACTTGAATCTTTTCCTCTGTCTGACTAACTTGAGAGACCTTCTCTTTTACTTGAATCATTATGTCTTCTCCTTCCTCTACCGTTGTCTGAACTGAAGGCTTTGGACTAAGCAAACAAGATATGAACGTCCACAATGGCAATGTGCCATCTGGCAGAGTCCCTGGGCTTTTCTTTTCTATTCTTTTTAAATCTTCACCATGATGGTTCCATTGTGATATATTTAACAACTCCTCCTTAAAAAGCCATGGGCTACATTTTTGTATTGTATCAACGTATGCCCTGATTGTTCTTGATTTTACTGAGATGCCTCCTTCCTCTAACAATTTACTTAACACTCTTTCAGTTTGTTTTTTACTAATTTCTGATCCCGTATTTCTACTATAATACAACCCAACAAGATGACGCCAAACAAAACCGAGACAGAATGAAATAAAAAGGGAACAACAAAAAGTCATTATAGCCTTTCTATCCTCCTGACATGGGCATCCGTCCTTTCTCCCTATCTGTTCCTCAGACGTAAATAGTTTTTCCTCAGATGTGAGCGGTTTTTCTTCCGTCTCACTCATCTCCAGGGACAGGCAACTTAAAACAAAAGTGAAGCAAAATAAAAGAGGAATCTTAAAATGGCTACCCATCCTCTCGCCCTGCCCTCAGGGGTGAGCAGTTTCACTTACCCTCAGTCGCTCCCCGTGCGAGCCACCAAATGCCGCAGTCTGGCTGGGCACAATCAGGAGCCACTTGTCAAAAGAAACTAACTTTATTTTTAGAACCACACACGCCAAACAAAACAGCCTCTCAGGAAAAACCCTCAGAGCCTCAACTGCCACCACCGGCTTTCCACAAGCCTCTCTCTCCCCCACAAGCTTCTCTCCACCTCCCACAATCCTCCTGCTCTTGAGGCCGATTGGCTGGGTCATGTGGGTGGAGCCAAAAAAGTCCCCCAATGAGCAGCTCCGTGGTCTGAAAGGGCAGGGAAACAGCCCAATGAGCATCACCGCAGAGGAGCCAATCAGCTAGATGTTGCTGGGGCCGAGGAGCCAATCAGCTAGATGTTGCTGGGGCCGCTGTGAGCCAATCATCAGCCGGCAGCTGGAAGTTTGCTGGCAGCTGGAAGTTTGCTGGGGCCCCTTCGGCTGTGGCTCTCAACACCCACACACACACAGCCAAAAAAAAAAAAAAAAAAAGGAACCTTCTTTTTTTTTTTAAATTGGTGCAATTTTTTAAATTGGTGCTTTTAGATTCCTCACCTATCACAACTCTAGGGCCTAACTTCTTTCCCATCCAGCCCCAGCAAGCATTACGTGACCATGGGCCTGAAGAGATCCTAAATGACTTCTAAAATGATTACCTGAACACCTTGTAAGGATATCTTAGGAAACATGGTAGGTGCTGGGCAGACAACAAATTCAAAATGTGTTAAAAGACTGCAAAAATTTAAGCTTGTATAATATAATAAAGGTGCTGGGAATTGAACCTAGGAGTACTCTACCACTGAGCTACATCCCCATCCTTCCCACTTTTTTGAGACATGGTCTTGCTAAACTGCCAAAGCTGGCCTCCAACTTCTGATCTCCTTGCCTCAACCTCCAGAGTTGCTGAGATTACATGTGTTCATTACTGTACCCAGCGGAACCCCACCCCCACCCCCACATGCTGGGGCTGGAACCCAGAGCACCTTGCAAATGCTAGGCAAGCACTCTACTATTGAGCTACAGCCTAAGGCCCAAGTAGTCTCTTCTGTGGCAGGAAAAAAAAAATTATCTCTACATTCCCCAACAACTCAAAAAATTTCTTCCAACTCAATCCACAACAACCTTCTTTAGCATTATAGACATTTTGTTTAATTTAAAAAGGATAAAGAAATCTTTGCAAAACATTTCTTTTAAGATGCATGTTTATTGAAGTTAAAAAAAAAATTGTAACCAGCAGAAAGGATAAAGTAGACAAGAATGTTATAATCTGACTATATAATATTCTCTTATTCTTGGTGGATCACTAAAATATAACAGGGGATTGTTCTCTATGCTAATTTTAAGGTTGTCCAGTTAAACCATTATTTGGTATCCTTTCAACAGGTTAACCTCTTAACTATTTAGAGTTTCTTCTCAGAAACATTCATATATTATACAGGGAACATTCATAGTTTGAGAAACATTCATATTTTATACAGGATGTACAAACTTTGAGACAATTTTTAAAAAAACACAATTATAGCCGCAACAGTATCCTAGCTGCATTGTGGTGATTATGCTTTTAAGTCAGCTCTCCATCATATACAACTGTATTTTAATTGTGTTATTTACAGAGGGGCTAAAGCACTCATCTAAAGATAAAGGCGCTCGGGTTTAATGTGCACTTTCACAGCCCTATGAAAACACACCATTATATACACTGTAAACACCACAGGGCATGAAATCCATCTTCAGTCACAAACATCAATCTCACAGGATCAAGCATACAAGGTCTAGGGTAAGGTGCCTGACTCTTCCTTTTTAGGTATACTCATCATCCAAGGGTCTGTTGTTTCATAGGACACTATTCACTTATTTCATATATGGTGCCAATGCTGGAAACATTTCTGGAACCTCTGGGAACTGCCTGCAGAGTCTGCAGTGAACTCTTCTCAATGTTTTTGATGGTGGCAAGCTGTCATCCTTTAAGGAAGGTTTTGATGACAGAAAACAGGCATAGTTATTCGCAGCTGAGTGAATCAAGCTGTGGGATACCACCCTGGATCAAATGTTGAGGCGCCACTATAAAACCATGAGACCATTTTTCTTATACAGCTGGTAAGTTCAGAGTTTAGAAAAATGCCTGAGTGATGGCAGTCCTGAAGGAGTAAGTACAGATTCCTAGAGTGATAACTGAGTGGCAACACTCGCGTGAACAGTTTATCTAGGTGTTTTGTGGTTTAAAAGATCAGTCCTTTTTGTTGCCTCTCCCCTGGACTTTAGTATTCCTCTTCAGTTTCAGTCCCTTTTGCTTTCTTATGGATTGCCCGATTAAAGCTGTGGCACGCAGGGACCCAGTGATTGTCATGAAGCCCCAGCTTACAGCCAGGAAAGCCCTTTTGAGACCGGTGGCAGCACATCCAGTACCCAGGCCCATAGGGCAATGCTTGGCAATAGGGCTTGGGGTGCCACCGGCACAGAGACACATCCCCCTTCACATATTTTTTCTTGCACTGCTTGCACGGGTCTTCTCTGTAGCGTGGATCTCTAACCCAGCGAGAATCTGCTGGCCTGATGTTGTAGTACTCAATAATGAACTTGAAATAGCAGCAGGTACATTTAAGAGCTACTAAACTCCTGGTGGGAAGTAACCTGAAGATTTTCACCATAATGTGATGAGGCAGAAATGCCATGTACTGCTGAGGCTCCAGAAGCTGCTGAATTTTAAACCTCGTCTCCAGAAAGTCATGAGACACCTGCTTCTTACAACTGGATGCTTCAAGTACAGGTAACGTACCTTCCACTGCAGAAGTTGGTGATGCAAGTGGCTCAACTGAAACACTTTTCTCCTCAGATGCACTGTCAACTTGAGCAGCATCTTCAAGCTGGCCTGCCTCTGAAGACTCCTGTGCTGTGCTTTCGTTCAACTGGGAACAGTCTAACTGGTGTTGACCAGATGGCAAAAAAAACAACATCCCTGGAAGTGGCTCCTCATGGGAATTTAAACTAGAAGGCTGGGCTTTCTCTACCTTTGACACAGTGATGCTGATGCACAGATATTCTTTTCTTCTCTGATCAGGATTTTGGTTAGTAAGAGGCACAAGCTCTCTACTCATACAGTTGACAGCATCTGTGGGCAATTCAGTGGCTTGGGGGTAGGTGTGAGAAGAAAAAGGTAATCCATCAAGTTCATCTGTCATTTCCACATCATACCTGTTGTTGTTTTTCACAGCAGTATGTTGACCTGGCTCTAATTCTGCCCTGTCCAAGTGGAAATTCACACCTGCTGACAATGAGGGACAGCTCTGAGGAGCACTATCCCAGGCCTGGTCCCCCTTAGTAGAACAATGCTCAGCTCTTGAGGGACCACAGTCTACAGACACAGACTGCATGGGAGTCACCTGAGTATCAGGTGCCTCCAAGATGCCTTTGTTTGTTTTGCTTTCATCAGCCCGAGTGCTATTTGCAAGCAACACCCTGCCCACATTTCGACGGAAGCTGTTATTCCGCGACAGGTTTCCAGGCTCACGCTGGCTCTGCTGCTTCAGGCACTCGGACTCCAACCTGGCTACCATGTCTAGGACACGGACTGGTTCACTCTGTGGTTCGCCCACCTCAGAATTTCCCCTTTCTGTGGGTTCTTCACAAGCTCCTGGGGCAGAGAATGGGTCAGGGGCAGGAGGCATACTTCTAGATTGGCCAGAAAACCTCACAATGGCAGGTGAGTTTGTGCAGTTTTTCGCACAGCTAGCTAGCAGAGCACTGGCTCTTTGTTCAAGGAAGGCAACCATCTGTATAACCGACAGAGGTCTTCCAGCATAGACTCCATCTCCACTGTCACTTACATAATGCACAGAACAGTGCTCAATGCCACATGCAAATGGCTCAGGCTGGTAGCACCTGTTATTGACATCCCTCATTCTTTCTAACTGTATCTTGTTTTTTTTAAGATCCCCTGATTTTTTCCTTCTTTTAGTAGCTCTCCCATCAATATCCCAAGAGCTTTTCACTTTCATAGATCCTAACCTGTTGCTACACTGGTGAGCTGCAAAGAATGCAATTTTCTCCTTGGTATTTCCAGGTTTCACAACAGCCCAGATATCAAGTGGCCCTTCTCCTTCTTCACCCTGGTGGATTGTTGCAGGTGGCACATTCTTTTTAGTTTTGACATTCAAGCTGTTCTCTGCAGGGCTCTTCCCACTCATACTGCACAGAACATTTGGAGAAAGGATCCCAAAAGGTTTTCGAGATGATGCTTTGCTAAAAGAAGTTGAAGGAAAGACACTTGTTTTCATATAGCTAGCTTTGCATTTTTCATCATTTACAGCCTTTTGATGGCTCATAAGAATTCTCAGAGTGTCCCTGCAGACTTCCAGAGGACGCTCTTTCTTCTGGAGTTTCCAGTATGGCTTTAGGTGCATAACACAGGCCCTATAGGAAAGAAATACATAATTGATTGAGACCAATTTTTTAAAAGAAGTTTCTTCTATAACTTAGGCTCAGATAGTTCTAGCAAGTAAAAGAAACACTTTCTACTGTTTACTAAATCTTCAACACTCATTTCAGCTAGGTTTTTCTATGGGGGGGGGGTACTGGGGATCAAACCAAAGGGTGGCTTTACCATTGAGCCATATCCCAAGTTCTTTTAATTTTTTACTCTGAGACAAGGACACTCTAAAATGCTTAAGGCCTCTCTAAGTTGCTGAGGCTGGCCTCAAACTTGTAATCCTCCCACTGTAGCCTCTGAAGTCACTGGGATTATAAGCATGAGCCACTATATCCATCGTCAGCCAGTTTTTAATGCACAGATCTATTACAACAAAAGTAAAATAACCACTTTTCATTGTGTATCAGCCAGAAAATAAGTTGGTTTTGGCTGATGAGTTTCAGAAACAGATATTCACGTGTTATGCATCAATCCTTTAAGAAAGCTAAACTTACTGAAAACACTTGATAGGCATAATATAAAAGAAAAGAAAGTATAAAAGGAACTTCTCCATAATGCTTAGATTTTTAAACACTTTTTCCAGGTCATCACAACTAACATTTTATTGGTTGTGTATCAAAATGTATTATATTGCTTTCTAGACTATTCCCAATAATACTATTTAGATGTATACAAATTTTCACTTGTTTGCTTATCCATCTAATAGTCTTGATTATGTAAGCACTTAAATGTCAAATTTCCTACAGATATCTTAAACCACATAGAATCTATAAATCCTTATTAATTCTAAAACCCATGTGATCTAGTTCAGAAAAGCTGCCATGTTTTGTACTTGACCAGGGATAGATGGGAGCCAGAGGCAGACACACCCTGGTAATCTCAGCAACTCAAGAGCCTTAGGAGGAAATCAAGTTTGAGGCCAGTCTGGGCAACTTAGCAAGACTCATCTCAACAAAATTTAAAGGGCTCATGACATGGATATCAAGTGGTAAAGCACTCCTGGGTTCAATGCCCAGTACCGCCCCCACACACACCAAAAAAACACCACAAATACACAAAAACTAAAATAAAAAAATAAAGAGATGGATACCAGTTCACAAAAGAGACAGCAAGATGATTACATAACAAAGACCTGTGTTCTAGGCCCTACTTATCACTGATTAGGATTAGCTAGATAGTGAGGTGATTTTTACCATGGGCAAGTCACTTTCTCCCTGGGTCTAAGCTGAAATGTTAACTGAGGGTTGAAATATTAAATAATCTAATGATCAGGTCAAGCCCACTGCTACACACACACTTTGGATGGAGGAAAGAGGTTTTCCAGGGATGCCTGGTCTGCAAAATAAACCTATTAACCAAAATAAAGATGTGTAGTCACAGGCTGGTGGGACTGAAGCCATAGCACCTGCAGGTCTAAGCATAGGGAATTTTTACCTACTCTGGACCACTGCGACAATCTTAGCTTTATGTTTTGGGTGACTTGGCATTCCTCTCAATTTTCTCCGTAAAAAAACAAGTGGCGATACTGTAGCAGATCCTGCATAACTTCTGTCAGATATCAGTGTTGACTGTCAAGGATGAAAAGTAAATATGTATGCTATTCTGCATTGCACAAAGTAATTAACTGGTTCAAGTTTATCCTTCATTTCAACTTGTAATTCCATGAGTCCAGTCTCAGTTAAAAGAGGAAATGTAGATATGCTGTCTTCTAGCATAAAAAGAAAGCTTACATTTAATGCACACACACACACACACACACAAAGTGTTTTTAAATATGTGTATGTGTGTACTGGGGAGACACAATATTGTCCAGGATGGAATTCAGGGGTGCTCTACCACTGAACAACAAAATTTTTTATTTTCAGACAGGGTATCACTTAGTTGCCGAGACTGGCCTTGAACTTATGATCCTTCTGCCTCAGCCTCCCAGTGCCTGGGATTACAGGCATATGCCACTGTTCCCAGCTAAAATCTTATCAGGATCTTTCTGATCTTTGGCAACTTATATCTTAACCATCTGTAGTGATCTTTCCCTTTTCTGCACTACAGCACTTTTTAAACAGATATCTATAATTATATTTTATAATTTAATTTCCAAACAGGACTACTCAGAATTTTTCAAGAACAAGATGATTTAAAAATGAATAAAAGAGACACACTGAATGCTGTCTCATTTTGCCAAATATTTTCCGGTTCTTCATATCCCTTCAACCACACTATAAGTAAAATGGAAGAAATGAAGGTTGTTGGGGTGGGAAGGGGACAATAAATTCTCACACAATGATCTCATTACACTGTGTCTATGAATAAATTTAAACTTTAGCAATATCTGCTGTTCTGCATTGCACAATATGTTCTCTTCGCCTTCCTCCCACACACATTATTTTAAGTGCCATTATGGACAGACAGGAACATTAAAAAGAAACTAATTAGGGAAAGTTTTTGTTTGCATTTAACCTGTAAAGTCAGCTCAAATGGCAATTACTTGTATACATGGTTATAGCAAGATGAAAACAGGACAGGATCCCAGGGAAAGAAGTGGGAAAGCAAAGGTACAATAGAGAAGGAGAAAAGCCAATAAAGATACACAATCTAGGTGACTGCTGAAAAGTAGGGGTGATTCTGTAGGGCCCCTAAAGAAGGCATAATGTTTTGACACTTGACTGCATCCTCTGCTGATTGAAAGCTGACTGATATGTTAATGTTCCCCTTTCCCTTGCTGGGCTTGAAAGGACCTTAGGCAGAAAACAGATGCTGGCAAAACTTAAGAGAAACTGCGAAAATCTGAGTTTTGGTTGAAATCAGTGGTGGACTAGAAGGACATGATGTACAGCACCAGGAGTATCTGCTACAAAAAGCCACAAAAACAAAAACTTTAGCCAGGTGTGGTGGCCCATACCTGTAATCCCAGCAGCTTGCAGGGCTGAGGCGGGGGCGGGGATCGAGAGTTCAAAACCTGCCTCAGCAACTTAGCAAGGCCCTAAGCAACTCAGCAGGACCCTGTCTCTAAATAAAATACAATAAAGGGCTGAGGATGTGGCTCTATGGTTAAGTGCCCTTGGGTTCAAGCTCCAATACAAAACAAAACAAAGCAAAACTTTAACAGATTACACCAGATGGTGGCACATTCCTCCTCACACCCACCTCAGCTCCTACCAAAGCACAATGGAGGAAAGTTTCAATTGTTTCCATGGTTGCAAATCTTCATTATTTATTTTGCAGTACTGGGGATTGAACCAAGAGGTGCTCATATCACTGAGCTACATCCCAAGCCCTTTTCATTTTAAGTTTTGAGACAGACTCACTAAATTGTTGAGGGTTTCCTCGAACTTGGAATCATCCTGACTCAGCCTCTCCAATCACTGGAATTATAGGCATACACCACTAAAATTTAATATACTTAAATTTTAAAAGTTAACCATAATGAAACTCCATTCTCTTGCAATTAAATAAAATGCATATTTATAGCACCTACATAGCAGTGTTCCTTAGACTTCCAAAAAGGCCCATATAAAAATAAAATTAGGATCCCTGGGCCCAATGAATCAGAATTTCTAGGATTGGGCTCAGAATCTGTTTTTAACTTTAGACTGAAGTTGGAAGGAACTTTGGTGGTCACTTGTTAGAATCAATGCAAGAGGGTCAATGGGGCTCTGTATCTGGGCTGGGATGCTGGGCTACAATAGGAATTAAGTGGAGATGTCCATCCAACAAGAAGCCAACCTAGCCAGACACAGTAATACACACCTGTAATCCCAGAAATTTAAGAGGCTAAGTCAGGAGGATCACAAGTTCAAGGCCAGCCTGGACAACATGTTGAGATCCTGTCTCAAAACAAAAATAACAACAAAAAAAAACTTTAAGGACTAGGGATGTATAGCTCAGTGGTAGAGCACCCTAGGTTCAATCCCCAGTGCTGCAAAAAATAAAGATAAAAAGAATCTTGAAACCATTCCTACTAGTTGGTAGCCCATCAAGTCAGTAACCTGAGTCAAGTCTGAAGTAACTCCTCACACCCAATCACTAAGACAATAAAATGTGTCTTCCTTTTAATCTCTAGCACAACTGTTAGACTTTAAGCAGCCTTCTTATCTCTGTAGCACTGTTGCTAGCTATAGGAAAGGCTACCCTCTATCAATGCAAAGCAAGGTGCTAGGCCCACTCCAGCCAACCCACTCCTGCTTTGCCCTACTGCCCTTGTTACTTTGAGAGCTTGTTCACAGAACCATTACCACAGGACCAGATAGGTGAAGGCCAAGTCTTCATTTCCTTCTACCTACTGATCAGAAATTTACTAGCCATTCTAGAGCTGTGTAAAACTTCTGCCAGTTTTTTTTGTTGTTGTTGTTGTTTTGCTACAGTTATAAGGCACTGTTGCTGTTTCGAGAGAGAAAAGTAAACAATTACAACAGAATGTGTAATGTCATTTAAGTGTACAACAAGTGCTATGAGAGTCCATGTGGGAGAGAGAAAAGGAATGTTCATGAAGGAAATGTGGGGCTGCTAGCGTCAAGCTCAGTCTTTTATTTTTTTGTACCAGGGATTGAACCCAGGGGTACTTAACCCCGAGTCACACATCCCTACCCCCTTTTTATTTTCATTTTGAAATAGATTAGGCCCTAAGCAACTTGCTGAGGCTGGCTTCCAACATGCAATCCTCCTGTCCAAACCTCCTGAATCACGGGGATAACAGCTACGTAACCATGCCTGGCCCAAGCTTAGTCCTGATGGTGTAGGAACAGGTCTGAGAAACCCTGACTTTCTAAAGTAAGCCGTGAAGGAAGATATACAAAAATCCTTAAGAGGCTCAAAAGTAGGTGATAATTTTGGGAAACTCAGGTTAAGTAAGAAAGTCTGAGCTTAGGTGCTGAGAATGGAGAGATGACCAGCAAACAAGCAAGATTCTGACTAACTATAGTCATTAAAACTAAAAAAATGAAGGAGAGCCATCAAGGATGAATCGTCATCTTATGGTTTCTGCAAG